TCGTTAGGTTTTTTTGGCTGAAGAGGAAAGTTACGGGATTGGCCACTCCGACAACTTCTCTAGAAAGCTTTGAACTGAAGTTTAAGATGACGTGGGCATAGTTTTATAATTTGGATGTTTTGATTTACGGTCGAATCAAAAAGGGACACCAAGAGGGGATTTACCAAGCACCACCAAAACCATGCCTCGCGTCAGATCTGGAAGGCTCTGATTGGATCAGAAAAAGAAAATGTGTCATGTGATTCTTAACATTATGTGTGATCAGTCTCTAGTGGAAACATTTAAAGTTATATTACTTATTATAACTACTGATCATAAACATTGTCATTTCACAGATTGGTTCACATTTTGTTATTGGACTAACTCTTTGTTTGATTAGCTTTATTAAAAATAGAGTTCTTCTGATTTATTAAAAGAGTCCTTTGTCTTCATTCTTCTCTTGAGCTGAAAAGGAAGAAACAGTTTAGGAGCCGAGCATGAGACCTTGAGCAATATCTCATGCAGATTAGGTTTGTGTCAGAAACTTCTGGTTTTTCTTTGAGCAGAGCAAAACAGAGCATGGCCTTTTACGTCAGAAATGGACAATTCATCACACTACATTAACATGGAGAAGCCCTAAAGGTGGCAGCTCCACCAGAATGGGTTTTTTAGTGTAGGTTAACAGGTATCTACAATGGTGAATTTCATTTTATAACAACCTGATAATGAGTTTACACACATTTCTTTGATAAAACAAACAAAAACCAAAAGAACAGCCTCCATCAAATTCAAGTTGAAACATGCTTGATGCTTTACTGGCAGATTTCCAAGTTTTAGCACCCTCAACAACTAAATATTACACGTGACAAGAGTTGTTTGTTTAAAGGTGTGGTTGTATAAACATGTTTTTAATGATTATAATTGGTCACTTTAGACCGTAAGAAGCTAATTAGCGTTAGCAACTCCACCACATGGCAGGACTCCTTCAGGCCATGTTGTAATTGTAGCATTAAAGAGGCTACAAATTATTTATGACCAATAAGATGTGATTAATCCATATTAATATGAAATATCAATCTGATTGATGTGCAACAACAGAAATTCTGGAGAGACTCCACCTTCTTGAAACGCAATGAGGGGCTACATGTTGGACATACCTCTCTTTAAATCATATGAAGATCATGTTTTTACAGCCAATCTAGGTGTTAACGAAAAAGGATGTCTTTGCAAGCTGACAGGTCCTGTTGTGAGGTGACTCTAAGACAAACTAAGATGAAGATAACAAGCTTTCATCAATATTTCTTCATGATATTCTCATGATATTTAAAAATGTGACTTCTCTTTGCTGCTTTTCTAATGAGCAAAAGAGGAATAACCTTTTTGAATTGTCAGTCTCCTTTCAGAGAAAATTAGATATGTTTTATGCATTTCCAGCTAAACCATATTTGTTTTTTAAACCACAAAAGAAAAGCATTCATGCAGTGTTTTCTACTTTTTTATTAAGGTTATACAATTAGCTAATATTAATTCTGTATTTTATATGTATTGCATAAATAACTGTATAACAGTTTCAATCTTCACCATGTACTGGCTGACAGTTTCCTGGACAAGATCCATCTAAAGCCCTTCTCATAAAACTACCATCCATCCATTTTCAGCCTCTTATCCGGAGTCGTGGGGGCAGTAGCCTGAGCAGGGAGGCCTAGACTTCTCTCTCCCCAGCTACCTGAGCCAGCTCCTTCTGGGGGAATCCTAAGGCGTTCCCTAGCCAGCTTAAAGACATAGTCCCTGTAGCATGTCCTGGGTCTTCATTGAGGTCTTCTGCCAGTTGGACGTGCACAGAAAACCTCACCAGGGATGCATCCAGGAGGCATCCTGACTAGATGCCCGAGCCACCTCAACTGGCTCCTCTCGATGTGGAGGAGCAGTGGATCGACTCCGATCTACGACTCTCTTTTCTAAACATCTGTCCAGCACCTGGGATAAAAAGGCTGTGCCTTCAGCCGTCTGGGAGGCAGCAGTGCAGGGGCTCTGCTGTCCTCCAGGCCTCATTTTGGTTTTAACCCCCTTCGTTTTGACTTTAATAGTTTTAACTCTGGGTGATCCACATGGATATTTGTTTGATGTCGACTTGGGTGACTCTGTTTTAAGGTTAACAACATAGTTTACGGACTTTGGGATTTTAAAACACTTGGTGTTTTCGTAGCGTATCGGTTTTATTATCAACTTGTGTTTTTAAAGCATCTTCTGTTTCGGTAAAACTTTTAACAAAGTTTTAACCAGGTGTTTTAATGTTGACAATTTGCCCTTTAAATGTTAACCTTTTGGTCTGGATTTTGTTTGTTTGGCATTATTTTAATTATGCTCTCCATCTGTTTGCACTTGTTTTTAGAACCTTTTATAACAATTAAACCCATTTTAACTCCACTGTTACCCCCTCCTTCATATTTTAACATTTCCTGTCGGGGACGTAACATAAAGAGAGCCGAAGCTATCTAGCGGCAGCCACAGAGCAGCTTGAACAATACCTTGCAGAAAAACTAAAAAAATGAATGTTTTATTTACCCATGACTGGAGGAGTGAAAAAATAAGCAGCAAGCATTTTATTCGTGGACAGAAATTATGGGAAACGTGGGTTTAGAGGTGACGAGTGTGTGGAGGAGAATAAGAGACACATTGTCCGTGTGAAAACGTCTCTGAAATACAAAAAAATTAACCACACAATTTAAACACAATAGTAAATGCACAATATAGGGCCAGATACATAACAGGATACCCCAGAAAAGCCCTCTATGCCCTCTGTTGTCCTGGAGGGGAATTGCTCTGCAACACTCCCCAGCAGATGAAGTCAGAGATCAAATCATCTCTGTCCATGTCTGTGCGTGTCTCTCCCTTGTAGAGCTGATGGAGAAGTATAAATTAGGCTTAAGGGAGAGCCCAGACACTCTGTGGAGAAAAATAATTTCAGCCGCTTGCATCCGTGATCTCACCCAAAACTGCGATTACTACCCAAAACTCACGACCATAGGTGAGGGTAGGAACGTAGATCAACTGGTTAATTGAGAGCTTTGCCTTCTGGCTCAGCTCTCTCTTCACCACGACAGACCGGTACAACGCCCGCATCACTACAGACGCAGCACCAATCCACCTAGCGATCTCACGCTCCATATTTCCCTCACTCTTGAACAAGACCCCAAGATACATAAACTCCTCTGCCTGGGGCAGGACCTCATCCCTAACCCGGAAAAGGCATTCTACCCTTTTCCGACTCAAGACTATGGTCTCGTATTTAGAGACGTTGATTCTCATCCCAGCTGTGAACCGCTCCACCGACTATTCTGATGAAGCCAGCAGGACCACATCATCTGCAAAAAGCAGAGTCAGAGTCAAAATGTTGATAAAAAAGTTAAAATAAAAAAGTTAAAATACTTAAACAAAACTGAATTAATCAAAAAAAAACATTTTGACTTTTCAAAACCTTTTCTCTTAAATATACTCTAGAAATAAAATGAAACTTTTGTCATCATTTTAGTTTGTTCTCATAATTTTTTTGTTCTGGAAACAATACTTTGTGTTTTCCCCTTCATGCTCTCCTCTTTTCCCCTCAACATTTTGACAAAACTTTTAACTTAGACCATTTTTTTCAACATTTTAACTTCTACTACATTTCAATTTAAGTCTTAAAATGTCTAAATGCAACACATTCTCACTCCCAGTGCGTCAAGAACAAACGCTTGGTCAGCCACCCTACACGTCAGATCCCTGACGCCAAAAGTGCCCTTTTTTGTTACTTATGTGCGAAAAGGGGTTTTTCCCTTATTTGACTGCAGATCCCAATGCAGTGTTACACTGACACGATGGGATGTCCGCAGCCAGGGCACTAAACAAGCTCATTGTACCTCCACCTTAACCTTATCCTCTTATTTAACATTATCCTCTTATTTAACCTTCCCCTCACCCCTATCCTAACCTTAACCATCTTGCTAGCGAACCCGTTAGTGATGTGTCGATCGCTCTAAAAGCCGGCTCCATGAAGTGAACGGTGGGAGCCGCCTCGTCATTGGTTGAATTTTGACCGAGCCAACGCGAGGGGGAGGTTTCAACTACCAAGGTGGACGTTAAAAGTAGAGGGTATTTGTAACCTCCCCCTCGCCAGATGGTATGCTCTAATGTTCCCCTTGGGCGGCAAATACGAAAGTTTTGAAAGTTTTAAAGTTTCTGTTCTTTGAATGAAAATTAGGTTGCAGCAAAACAATTAGAAAGACAATTCAAGACATTCTGAGGTGAAACTTGAAATTTTTGAATAAATTAATCCAGTTTAGACCGAGAGCCATTTTAAAGGCTCAGGAACCCTTTTGCTGGTGTTTTGGGTTTATTATCTGATTATGTGACACTCTGAGTATAGAATATTGAACATTCTAGATGATACTTTGAATGAGGGGTTTTATAAGCCGTAAGCCATAATCATCACAATTATAACAAATAAAGGCTCAAAATATCTGGCTTTGCTTGGAATGAGTTTATCTTATGTACAGTATTAGTTTCACTTTTTGCACCATAATCAAATTTTTGGAGTTTCACCTGTAGTTTTAACTCCACACACACATGGCTACATCTCCAGGTGTGCATTCATACATACATACATGCACCATCTTTCTGGAAGCGTATTACTTTTCCTCACAGCCCTCCTCCTGCAGCCAACCTCTAGCACTAAATCAAGAATGAAGGTGGGGAGTGCCTCCTTCACTCTCTTGAGCATTAATGATGCTGACAGTTGTGTCTGACGGACAGGGAGGAAAAGGAGGTGGAGAAATGCTTCTGTTCACGTAGAGCACAGATGGAAAGAGTGGAGGCAGAAACACCAAATCGCCCATTCAGATGTCAGTCCCCTGGGTGGGTGGTTACTTTATTTTAGAGCCGTTTTAGGTTCATTTCATCTTCACTTTTTAACCATATTTATTTCAATTTAATTAAATATCAGTAGTTATTTTGAATATTATAACTTCAGGTTTATTATTGAACTAACCGAGAAGCAGAAGATGCATTTCTGCTTCTGAAAGTAAGGTTCTCAGGTAACATTTAAAAAATGCATTGAGCCTTGGATGAACATGCAGCACTTTAAGAACCTTATGAACTAAAATGTGTTTTCTGGTACAATTTAGTTACAATACAATAGACAACATTGTTGCATGCACAGATCTATATGTCCCCTGAAAGCACCATCATAGTGACCCACCCACATTTGCCAGAAAACCTCTGTGCAAGCACAAAACCGTCCCATCCGAGAAACATTCATTTTTAGGTTGTGACGGGTGACACATCCACCTACTGTCCTAGCATAAAATACATTGTGACTATTACATATTTTATCACAAGACTCAAAAATAGTCACAGAGATGCATTTCAGTCTGTCACTTTTTACTTTGGTGTTTTTAAGGACATTTTCTGTTTAAGGTGCAGAAATCTTTAAAGAAAACCAACCAAACCATCCCCCCACCCTCCAAAACACCACAACTACTCCACTACATGTGTGTTATTGAATTGTGGGATCAAATTTAGCAGCAGATGGGCAGGATATTGTATTAAACTCTAGTGCCACCCACACAGTGGTGAAATCTCTAGAAGGCACACGGTAAGAGATGTATATCCTCTGCGAGGATATCTTTCTCCATGTTCTGGGTGACATTCTCAACATTGTGTGGGGCAAGTAATTTCCTCTGTTTTCCCTCATGTTTAAAGGTGACATGCACGGCTCTGTCCCTCAAAAAATCACTGCTAGAAAAAGCTGATATTTCCCTTCTTTGCTGTTATTTCTTCATGCAGAGGTTGTCTGTCATATTTGATGATTGGTACTCCTGATCTGACACAAGTCTTGCAGTTACTGTGCCGTTAATATGGTTTAACTTCTCTCAGTTACTGGGTGGTCAGTAACATTTCGCGTCGGAAGATATATTAGTCTCAGCTTTTTTTCCTATTGTAAATTGCAAAATAGCTGGCATTTCTCTAAAAGCCGCAGAGCACTTATGATAACATCGACACTGCAAAAACTGATTTCTAGCAAAGTAAAAAAAATCATTTAAAACTCAGTTTAAGACATTTTATCTCATTTTTAGTCTAAAAATAATTTTTTTTTGCTTGACAAATATTTGTTGAAATGTTGAAAATTGAAAAAGTTGTAGAAAAATATTGGCGTAACATATAACATTATAAATCGGATCTAAGATACATGGAAGCAGGTCTGAGGGTGTTTCTCAATTTCAAGGGGCCTGGCCTCGCGAGACATTGGCTGTGTCCGAATCCAGAGGAAGGATGCTTGTGAGTAGGGGTCCTCGCCGGTCTAGCAAGGCCGGGTCCTTGCTAGACCGCTAAAACCGGAAGTCAGCGGCTCTGAATTCGGACAGTACTAGCCTCGTTTTTATTCCCGCCCCCAGGTCCAGTTGCTTAGCTACCGTGACGGCGGCAAACAGGTTAACAAGCTAACAAGCTAGTCAGAGGTGAAAATGGATCCACAGCAGTATTCCCTTTTATTTTTGGTTTTTGAGGAGCTGCGACTGCTTAGTAAACGTCACCGGCCTTTGTATTTAAGGCTGAGAAGCAGCCATATCCAGGTAAAATTATTTTTTGTTTAGTGAACCAGCTTTCAGGCATTACATGCTAACTTTAGTGCTAGTTTCATTTATATTTTAAGCAACAGAAAGACATGTGGCTGAATATACACATTAGTATAGAGTAGACTAACATGCATATAGTTAATTTAACCTATATTCATCTAAAATAATTAATGGAATGACATTTTAGAAGTTTGTATTTGATCATAATGCTTGGTTCTGTGCATAAAGTTCATAGTAAAAGTAGCATTACAATGTGTTTAATGTGCATTGTCCTTTTCAACTTATGCCTAATAATGCCTAGCTCTCTTCTAAAAATCTCAAGCATTTATACAGGTTTTTTTAAAATATTTTTATTGTTCTTTACTTTTCTTTTAACAGAACAGACCCCTGTACTGCAGGGTTAACATGAGTGTGCCAGTCCTGGACCGGTTTTTTAACCAGGAAGATCCCAGGCCAGATTTTCGTCTGAGCAGGGAGTCTTTTGTGGTGTTGCTAAATCTCCTGAACCAAGATCGGCGACATGGTTGGGGTGCCACAATCGAGACCCTGGTGTTTCTGTTCTGGTTGGCAAGTGGAACATCCTACAGGGTGGTCTCAAGAGTATTTGGGATGCCTCGCTCAACTGTCCACGACATCGTCCATCGAGTCACGGAGGATGTGGTCGCAATCCTCCACCAGGTCATTCACCTCCCCAAAACCCCAGAGGAGATGGAGGTTGTGTCCCGTGGGTTTGCTGGGCTGGCTCGACACAGAGCTTTCATGAAAGCAGCAGGTGCGATCGACAGCTGTCACATTCGGATCAAGGCTCCGAGCGGTCCTGATGGTCAGTGCTACAGAAACAGGAAACTGTTCCCATCTATCATCCTGCAGGCAGTTTGTGACCATCAGGGCCGCTTTATCGACACCTATGTGGGCTGGCCTGGGTCGGTCCACGACTCCAGGGTCCTCCGGCACAGCCCACTGTACAGGCAGTCAGCCTATCCTCCTCCAGGGCACTTCATCCTCGCGGATGGAGGGTACCCATGCCTCCAACATCCACTCCCCCTCATCACCCCCTACAAACAGGTGGTTCTAGGTGTGGGAGCCCAGCGCTTCAACAGCCATCATTCCAGGGCACGCTGCATCATCGAGCGTGCTTTTGGAATGATGAAGACCAGGTTCTGGACCATCTTCCTGAAAGCGCTGGAGGTCCACCACACCTTTGTACCTCATGTAAGTTAACACAAAGTGGAAATAAACTTTGGGTGTAATCTTTGTTTGGGAATGAAATATAAATTAAATTTTTATCTCTATTACAGGTCATCACAGCATGCACCATCCTGCACAACATCTGCCTCAGTGCTGGTGACATTGTGGTGCAGGACGATGAACTGGAGGATGATCCTCCAGAAGATGAGGGGGAGGCTGGTTTGGAGGCAGTCAGTGGTGCCCTCTGGCAGGACCAACTTTCTGCTGAGGTGTCTGCTCTGGAGGAAGTACCACCAGATCACAATTACTGTTAACAGGCAAGTAATTTACGTAGGAATCTCTAGTTTAAAAATCATTTAGTCCTGTTATCTGCTAGAGTTACAAGTATTATACTCATGATCTCCTTTTTTGCATACATCTGAATGTTAGTGATGTGACAGCCGTCGATTGAGCCAGCCCAGCAAACCCTTTTGATGGACGATGCAGTGGACAGTGAGATGAGGCATCCAGAAGCACCCTCTGCAGACCACTTTGTCTGATGTTCCACTTGCCAGCCAGAAACGTTCAGCCACGGATCTCGGTTCCTGCACTCCATCCACCTCGATCCATGTTTAGTAGATTTAGCAACACCACCAAAGACTCCCTGCTTTCCAAGTTTACTGTATATATTTGACTTTTATCTTTACTTTTATTCCTTACAGTGTTCCCTTACAATTTATTTACTATGTTGTTACTTGTTAAAAACTGAATAATAAAACTGTTAATGATCAAAAAAGAGTTATCAATTAATATAAATTTTATTACATTTAAACAATTAACAAAAACATTCAAACACATATATAGAACCTGAACCAGAAGAAACTAAAAGAAAAAAAAACATTTCTCTGCCATCCTTTCCATCAATGCTAAAAATCTGTCCATCCTTCTTTCTCTCCTCTCCTCCGCTTCCCTCTGTTGTCTCATGTCCTCCCTGATCAGGTCAAGGAGCTCATCAGCCCTTCTCCTTTTTCTCCCTGATGAGGAGTCCAGCTTCCTTTCACCACTCTCCCTGTCCTCTGTCTCACCCACTGCTGCACTTGGCCCTGGAGTGTCCTCGGGAAAGGAAGCAATAAGGACAGGAGGCATAGTGGAAGGCCTCTATCCCAACACCTCGTCCATGGGGACAAACCAGGGCCAGGTTTCAGCAGTGGGCTTTCCGCTGACTCCCTCTCCTGACCCTGGATACTTGCAGTCCTACAGACAAAGGGAATTAGAATTACAAGGCTTTATTGTCATTTAACAACAGAGAACACTGTGGGCATAATGAAATTACAGATGCTCCTTAAAGGTACTGGTTCTGGATGAGAATAGAGAGGAATAGAAGAACAAAGTCAGATTATAAATCATAGTTGATAAATAAAAATATTGTTTATTGCATGTTTTATCAACATGGGAGATGAAAATTGTGTTCTGTGTTTTTTTCCGCCTAAAATGAAATTAAAAACATTAAATCAGTAATGTGGTTTCTTAAAAATTAACTTAAATAAACATTAAACTTAGTTTTCGTTATTTTTGGCGTTCGTTACATGATTACATAAGATGCAAGCTCTTTTATGGTGAGTTTTTTCCTATTAGACTTTCAAGCAAGTGTACGGTGGGGTGTTAACCTTAAAACAAATGATGAGAAGCTTCATTCGCTAAATAAACACACACACACGGGAATTATGACGGGACCACCATACAAGCTCGTTCTCGCTGATTTCTGCTTAAAATGTACTTATACAAACGAAAAATGTCTATAAACAGAACCGCTTTCAGCTTAGTTTTCTACCGCTATTTTCTTTTAAAAAGACTGCTGGGATCAAGCTAGTTTACGGTGGGTTTTTTCCTATTAAACATTCAAGCTGGTTTTCGGTGGGGCATGTTTTAGCCTTAAATTACATGAAAAAAAAAAACAATTTGCGGTATTAGATCTTATATAAAAAACAAACCAAAAGTGCCCAAACACGTATTTTATTTTTTTGACCGCTATTTTTTTAAACTAACTTACATTTTAAGCTGTACTGCTGTCCCGCTCCGTCCGCCGTTGTTGCGAGTGTCGAGTCCAGCGGCCGGCGCGCAAAGCATGCTGGGATACCCTTGCTCCTGTGAGGATCCATCAGACCCATCCTCGAAATGTGGGTGGAGCGAGGACGCGTTTGAGGACGCGAGAATGAGTATTCTTGGAATTCGGACAGTGCTCGTCGCTGCGCTTTGACGTCATCGACCTCAAAATGCGCTCTTACAAGCATCCTTCCTCTGGATTCGGACACAGCCATTGCCTCGCAAGGCCAGGCACCTTGGCACCTTGCTTATGAGGACACTGTCCTTCCTTGGTCAAAAAAAAACAAAAAAAAAATGGCTAAATGGAACAGACTTCCATCACGTGACCTGTGACAGTCACGTAACCTCACATGATGCAGGAGGTAACGTTATTTTTATATATATAAAATTTAATATTAATTCCTAATGAGCCTTTTACTTTTTAAATTGAGTATATGTTTGTTAAATTAAATATGTAAGTGAGTTACTACCCGCTTGCCACCGTAGCTGCTACTACCAAGCAACTAACCAACCTTAGATAACTTCTTTGGATATAAAAAAAATTATCAGCCTGATATCAGATATCAGCCCAATAGCTACAATTAGTTGACTTACATTTAAATTTCAAATTTGCCCCAAAGTAGCTGCTGGATTCTGATCCACCATCCTTTTGAAAATACAGCGGTGTATTCTGGGAGATTTTTGACCAAGGCAAGGCTACAAGACATCTCCCATGAATCCTTGCTCAGCTAGCTAAACGGCTAACAAACAGAGAACACACGCCTTGGTAGCACATGAACAACACGCCTTGGCGGTTCCTGATGACGTATCTTCTAGGCAACCGGGGCAGGACCAAGACATCAAGGCGAGGTTCCTTAGCATTGAGAAACACCCTAAGTTTCTGGGCGACGCCATTTTAGACACCATGCTCCCCTCCATGGGAGCCCATGAGTACAAAACACATTTACTGATTTGTAACAAATGGTTAACAATTTTTTTCCATTCATAAACGTTGTTGTTTTACTCATTTACCTCTTCATTCGTTGCCAGAAAAGGAGTCTGATGTGCTTGTCATTTGCTGGAGGTTGAACGATATGACAAATTACCCGATCAAAAATTTCGCTCCCTGGGATTTTTGACCCTAATGGCAATTGGTTGGTAAGATCTTACTCAAACACAAACATATTGCTTGCTTGCAATGATTAAGGTATGTTCTGCCCCCGTCGGAAGTAGACAACGTCTTTTTAAAGGAAGACTAGGTGTCATGTAGAGGAGTTAGGATGACGGCGGACCATGTGTGGTGGAGCAGATCAGGAGGCAGGAATGCAGGCATGGATTAAATAAAAGTAGATTTAATGGCAGAGCGGGAACGACAGAACAAAACAACGCTGACAACGCTGACAACGCTGATCCGACAAAGACTCAAACAAGACGGGAGGTATAAATACTCAGGGAAACAATCAGGAACACATGGGCGGATTAACACGGGGCAAGTGAGAACAATATAGACTAATCAGGCAGGGAAGAGACACAGTCAGGGAGGCAGGGGCAGATTGTGACAGTAACCCCCCTTAAGGGGCGGTTACCAGACGCCCACAAAGCCACATAACCCTGGAGACGGGAACACTTTAACTCAGACTCTGGGAACTGGAACACTCGGACTCGGGAACTGGAACACTCAGACTCGGAACAGGAACACTCGGACTCGGAACAGGAACACTCGGACTCGGAACAGGAACTGGAACACTCGGACTTGGAACAGGAACTGGAACACTTGGAAACTGGAACAGGAGACTGCAGCAGCAGGCGTGGGACCCTGAAGAGACTGCAGCAGCAGGCGTGGGACCCTGAAGAGACTGCAGCGGCGGGACTCTGAAGAGGCTGTAGCATGGAGGACCTGCAGGCATAGGCCCCGCAGGCGTGGACCAGGAAGTTGCTGAACTGCAGGAGCGACGCGAGGAAACCCAGCTCGGCGGCAGGTACTCGACAAATGGTCTGAGCAGGTGCACATCACGATACGCTGGGTCACAGGCAGAGGCTTGGGTGCAGGGAAGCAGAAGAAGGAGTGGGGAGACCAACCCTACCACCCCGGAAAATGATGGTGTGCGTAGGGGGTTTTACTCCACCAAAACCCCAGGATCCACGGCTTCCGTTGGGAAAAAACAGGACGGGGGCCGAAAGCAGGAGAGGAGAATGAGTTCGACCACCCCGGGAACAAATAGGATGCGCCGAAACAACCTCAATGGGTCCGACCACCCCGGAAACAGGTAGGATGCGCAGAAACCCCTCGAGTCGGAATCTCCCTCTGCTAAATGGAGAAAAAGCAAAAAAAAAAAAAAAAAGTTATCCTCCAGGCAGATGTTTAGAGCTCACCACAGGTCCAGGTTGGTCGGATCATTCTGTCATGTAGAGGAGTGTGGATGACGGCGGACCATGTGTGGTGGGTCAGATGAGGACGCAGAAATGCAGGCACGGATGAAATAAAAGTAGATTTAATGGCAGAGCGGAAACGACAGAACAAAACAACGCTGACAACAAACAATGATCCGACAAAGACTCAAACAAGACGGGAGGTATAAATACTCAGGGAAACAATCAGGAACACATGGGCGGATTAACACGGGGCAGGTGAGAACAATAAAGACTAATCAGGCAGGGGAGAGACACAGTCAAGGAGGCAGGGGCAGATTGTGACATTAGGCAATTTTGGCTTGTTTTTAGCCAAAAATAATAAAGTTTATCTTTTACCAAATACAATATTTACTAAGACATCACAATATAACTATAGACACATTACTTGTGTGTGTGTGTGTGTGTGTGTGTGTGTGTGTGTGTGTGTGTGTGTGTCTTTGTCTGCCTGCTCTGTCTTCTCGATCCCCAGTGAGTCGTGGAGGATGCCTGCTTATACTGAGCCAGGATTCTCTGGAGGTTTCTTCCTGTTAAAAGGGAGTTTTCCTCTCCACTGTCGCTGCATGCTTGCTTAGTATGAGGATTGCTGTATAGTCACTGACACTAGTCAGTGACTTGATGCAATTTGCTGGGTTCCTTATATAGGAAACATTATTTCTGATTGGCTTAATGAACTGTGAATTGGAATGTTTATTATGTGAAGTGCCTTGAGACGACTCTTGTCGTGATTTGGCGCTATATAAATAAACTTGAATTGAATTGAGTTGAATTTAGCAAAACAAATCTCCTTGCTGTACGATCATCTTTTAAATAGGGATGTCGATCCGATCACATGCTCGGAAATCGGCCCCGATCACGTGGTTTCAGACTCGATCGGGACTCGGGCTTTACTTCCCGATCTGAGCCCCGATCCGGACTCGGATACTGGGTTCAAATTCCAGGAGAGCAACTTGGTTCTCCTTAAAGGTTCTCAGGCTCCCCTGATGCCCTTAACTTACACACCCAGAAGGAGCACAAAAAAGATCAAGTTTCTACCTATATCACATTATTTATATGGACTCAGCTTAGCGGGGATTCTTTTGAGCAGAGATGCAGAGAGCGGCAGGCAGACCACTGAAGTTTCTAAGTGGCATCACCAAAAAATATATAATAAACACACAGTCATTTGTGTCTGTTAATTTTCTCTGTCTGGTAAGTTCTGTCTGTATTTCAGCATGACGTGTGGACGCGCTCGCGCTGCCCCCGCTGCAGGCTCGTCACTGGCGCAGCCGGGCAGCGCAGCGCACACTCCGCTTTTTTTGCGGTCAATAGATCAATTTGATCTGCTAGTTAAAAAGTTACTTGTGAGGTGAAAAAGAAGGAAGCAGGCAGGAGTTTTCTGGAGGACTGGGAGATGCAGGAAGATCAGAGACAGACGGGACAGTAAGATAGGAAAATAAAAACCAAGAAAACAAAACAACGTTCTTAAAAAAATAAAATGAAGGTAGATTTATCCCACTAGACGTTGGTACATGTATAAAGCAATAATTCATCAGCATGTAGTATTTATATAGTTGATACAATTCAGAGATCATCTTCAAAACTCCGGCCCATGCCCAGGGACGTATCTAAGCATTTTGGGGGCCGAGGCAAAATAGACCCCTGCCAGGTATTTTAAGTTGAAGTGCTATCTGTTTTTATATTAGACTTTTTATATTTGCAATAAAGTCCAAAAGTGAAGAATTTGTTTTTTATTACTTGATTGATCAAGCTACCTCACAGAAGTGATCTGTTGTTAAAAATTAAAATAAAAAGGTAATTAAATAAAAAATTAAGGAACATTCTGGAACTGTTTCTTCCTTTTCTTTCTTATTTTTTAATGTATCGAAAGTATCGGCTCGGGACTTGGTATCGGCAGATTCTCAAAATCAAATGACTCGAACTCAGACTGGAGGGCAAAAAAACCTGATCGGGACATCCCTACTTCTAAATAACTTAATCTAACAGCTGAAACGTCTCCCAACCTTCCTTGAGTATCTACAGAAGTGATTAATCACTAAGAATAGAATAGAATAGAATAGAATAGAATAGAATAGAATAGAATAGACTTTTATTGTCATTGCACGGGGGTACAATGAAATTGAGGGCTGGAAATTAAACAAATCAGCTGTGTTCATGATCTAAAACATGCACGAAACACGCTGAAGCCAGACTGCAGCACCAGGTATGTCACCTCAATATTTTTCTTCCCAAAGGACCGGATCGGCAACTGTGAAGCAGCCAGTGGAATATTCTGGCCAGAAGGGGTGATAGGGTCTGGGTGACATTTCATTAACCCTTTAGATGGTTATTTTAGCACATACTGGCTCAAGAAAATGGTTTAATAATATGAAAACGTTTCAAAGTATGCCTTTAAAAAAAGTCCACATTTTCTTATTTTGAGTAAAAAAAAAATCTGACAGCAGAGTACCTAAAAGTTGCTTGGCTAGAATTCTTAAAACTAGCTAATAAATATGAAATAAGATTATTTTGCTAGTTTTAAGAACTGTAGCCAAGCAACTTTTGCATTAAAAAAACATTTTAAGAATATTTATTTGCAAATTTAAAATATATATATTTTGTTTATAGAATAAAAATAAGATAAAATGTGTAAAACATGTATTTATTTATTTTTTACTTTCTTATAGATCAGGTTTTGGAGAGTACAATACTGTATATGATTATTTGAGTCAGAGGTGAATCTGTGTTCCTGCTTTCATGTATGTGAAAGTGTGCAGAGAGGCACAGCTGTTTTGATGCCTGCTCAAAGATTGCATCTCAGTTTCAACAGTGTGGCACCATTGACATTCAGTCGAAATGGGTTTGGGTAGCATGCTGCTTACCCATGAACGAGACAACAAGGACACAATGATCAGACATAATCACCAGTGTTTCCATTAAAAGCCAGTATCTCATTGAGACCACGACTGTTGGTGACAAATTGCAACCAGCACTTGTGAAGGTTTTTCTAAAATGTCTCAAAACGTTTGTGAGAGTTCCTGCCAGGTTCGGTGTGCTGAACTGGAGTGTAGCGGAGGTAATGTAGCGTGGCTGTGTGACCCAGATGCGGAGAGGCTGGCGTTTGGTCCGAACAGAACACGCAGCTTGCTCTAAGGACGGCAGTACGGCGCACATGAGATAATGAGGCTGTACTGCGGTTCCGTTTGGTAGGGTGCTGTCGTGGTGGAGGTTAGACAGCGTGGAAAGATCACTTTCCTGGATTGGTTTTGGGTTAGATTTGGATCGCTTCGGTTTGGCGTCTGTCATGATGACTGAATGACAGCTCAGCGGTGACAGTTCGTTATATAGCTTCCGCGTGGTGATGTCACCGAGAGCGTCGGTGACGGGAATGCTGGGAATTGGAGTGCCCCGTCAGCCTGGCCCGCAGAGGAGGTCAGGAGGAGGAAGAGTTCATGACAGTTCCCAGTTTTTTCATGTGAGTTGCAAGATTTTATATCGAGTGAATTATGAACAGGAGCAAGGAAAAGGTTCTCACAGAATAGTTTGTCTTTGGAACTTGTATGACTTTAAATGCAGAGAATCAGTATTGCGAGAAAATGATGACCAAATTGGGAAGAAAAGAGGGTAACAATGCAAGCAATAACTTGGACTTAATGTCACAAATTTGCAACAAAACTTTGCATGATAATTTTTTGCAGTCATTTCTCAAGCTTCACATAATTTGACCATATAAAATAAACAAAGTTGCAACGATACAAACTCAGCATCATTCCAAATTAAAACCTACGTAATTTCTTACATCCATAAATAGTTGCAGCCCAGGGATGATGCTTGTTCTTTGCCTTCCTATTCAATGTGTGCTTTCACA